TTTGAAAGTGTTCCTTCTTATCGTCGCATTGTCTTCTAAGTGCAACTGCGTAACAATCCTTTCGTCTGCCATAACTCGAATAAGAAGAATAAGAATAATAATAATAATAATAATAAGAAGAAGAAGAAGAAGACATGCGTGAAACTTAAATACATCGCAGTATAATTCTTTCCCTTTTCTTTATTTTACCTTTTATCCTCCTTCGCTTTGCTTTAAACACACACACATACATATATATACGTGTACTTGAGTTGTAAACTCACTCACATAAGAGGAGCAGATGTGCACGTGGCACAGGAAGTTTAGTTTTATACAAGGAGCAGCTGACCGATACGAGCATTCCGGCTCAGAGGATGGTCTCGGTGGTTGCTTTCGAAAAAGGGGGATGATGATGATGATGATGATGTCTACGTCCGAACCTAGCGCAACTTAGTTAGATACACCCACATGTTACTTTATGTCACGGAAATGATCGAGTGAGAAAGAACACAATCTGAAAAAGATACTAGAATTTTTATTCAGAAATATTCCATTTATTTAAACAAATATTCATTTATAAAATCGTGTGTTTTAAATACTTTAATCGAATTCAAATAAATGTAACTTTCAAAATAAAAATATTACACATGTATATATATGTGTGTGTATATACAATTACTACGTGATCGAAATAATATTTTGCAACGAAGAAAGATTTTATCGATCGTATCTACGTTTTATAAAAGATAAAATGAAGAAATAAATCGGTGCAAGGTGCAAAAGACGAAAAGGTCCTTTTTCTTTTTTTCCTTTTTCCTTTTCGTTCTTTTGGCCAACCTCGAATTTACCTGAAGAGTTTGTAGTTCGTTGGTGTTGGTAGAAGATTAAGAGCAAGGGCAAAGGATGAGGAGGAGGAGGAGGAGGAGGAGGAGGATGCAGAAAAGCTGCCGGTCAGATTGTGAATAAGGGAAGAGTGCTGTTGCAGCTGCTGTGACAGCTGCAAACTTCCCAATATTATTCCTATAGCGAGTGTGTGTTCCTATCCTCCGAATGTTCGGTCCCTCGAGCTCCTTCTTTCTGTCCAGGTGCTTTTCGTATCGGCACCTTGAACATATTTTCTTTTTTTTTCTTCGTCAGTCTTTTCTTAAAACAGCTTCTCTCGTTTTCTGAAACGAGACGAGACGAGATGAACGCGAAGGTGGTGGCGAATGGGGGTGGTAAAGGGGAAGGTGAACACGTGTGGATCGAACACGTGTGTTTCTTCGATCGCGAACTAATTACGAAGATTCTTCTTCTTTTTTCTTACTAACAAATTTCAAAAAAGAAATATACTTTAACACGTATGAGATGGAAATATATTTTGAATAATTTCAAATTTTATATTTGGAAAAGCTTCGTGTTATAGTATACTCTACATCATGTTTATAAACTTATAATAAATTCTTCATACATTTTTTAAATCTATCCAATTTCTTTTGTATTTTAATTATATTAATTTAAATGTATCCAATTTCTTTTGTATTTTAATTATATTAATTTCAAACGTCACATCTAAGTATTGTCAAATACAATTAACGTTATTGGAAAATCACTTG